TGGCAGAATATATTCAACTGAAAAAATCCTCCACATTTACCCAGGCTTTGTGAAATATGAAGGGCTGAACATAAAAGGAATAAGATTTTTTTTAAAAAATCTTTTGAAGTCCAGTCCTATATTGAAGACTGATGACAGCTTACGCTCACATCATTTAAAATATAAAGAAAAAAAATAAATTGATAATTTCAAGATTTATTTTTTTTCACATGGAAATATTCATCTTGATCTCACTTCCTGGTGCTCAGGACATATAGGGGTAGAGCATCTGTGATTAAGGAACAAAATGAACAAACATCATAAACAGGCTCTGCCTGAGAGTTGACACTGTTCACTTTTAACTTTTGAATTTGTTATTGCAGGGGGATTCAGGTGGCCCTCTGACATTCAAAGATGGGGACAAGTGGTTTTTGGTTGGTGTGGTATCATTTGGCGACGGGTGTGCACTTCCCCAACGACCAGGAGTGTATGCTCGAGTCACCATGTTTGTGGACTGGATCAAAAGCATCATCTATTAACTTGATATTTTTTAATTATAGCAATGGAATTTAGATGTTGAAAGTAAGACATTGCATAATGCTGTAAACTAGGCTGCCATTTCAATCTCACAGAGAAAATAACTAAATATGTAAATCTGGGTGAGGAAAACATTGTTAACTTCTGTTTGTTAATAAGACCCACTTCCAAGTGAGCACAATATTTCAAAAGAGATGCTGTGGTTTTGTTAATAGTTTTGTCATTTTACTTTTTTTTATAGAGGATCTTAGGAAAACAGATTCTTTCAACATCAGTGCATTAACTGCACAGTGGAGGGCTTTACAAAGCACAGGCAGTAAAAAAATGTTTGCAAACTGCAAATGCTGTAGTGGAAAAGAATCAAAATTGTTAATATCAAGTGAAATAGTATCTGGTTTATGTTTTTACATTGTGTTTTTCAATGTGCAATTTCATATTAATGCAGAGTCAACTCTTTCCAGCAATCTCTCTGCATATCAAAATGAAGGTGTATGTCCTCTCTCTAATCTGGGCTCATGGGAGTTCCTCTGCCTTGCCTGTTACAAAAGGCTCTGGAGTGAGGTTTATGGATTGTGCAGAAAGGCTGACCATGGATCATGCTGCTTTCTAATGAATAAACTGAATGTCAGCCAAATGTTCTCTCTTGTGTAATGTGTTTGGAATTAATAGAGTTTAAAAAGGATTGAATAAAGCTTTTTAGTTGTCTTTCTAGTCAAGTGTTTGGCAATTATTCAAACAATTATAGAGATGTGCTTTTCCACACTCAATCACAGACTTACAATCCTGCAACTTCTTCTCATAAAAAGTGATGTTTCTAAAAACATTTGACAATAATGAGTACCAGTTCTCCCTCAAGAATAATAGTGCTTCCATATTATATGCTTTTTCTGTACTGGTGATTTTTAATATATGTTTTGTGCTTTGTAAAAAAAACAGCAGAGTATCCCATTACAGCATTCTAAAGGGGAAAGTATATGAAAACTAAAATAAGGGGTTTATCTTCTTGAGCTCTTTTATAAATAGGTATATAATGAAATATAATTACTTACTTGTTCAAATGCTTTAAATTCTATGGTATTAGTGTAATATGATGCACTTATTTCTGTTTTCAGACCAGTGTAGAACTTCAAAGTATTTATCATTCCACAGTACCAAAACTACAAAATGCATTCTCACTTACTTCATAAGTGTATCTACACATATACACATGGGTGTTGTAAGCTCCTGGATTTGGTTCTTGCAACTCTAAATAAAGGTATGAAATGTTTGCAAACAGAGGTTGTCAGTCACTGGGGAAAAAAAAAAAAAGTCCCAAACTGCTTTCAGGTCTTTGTCATTAGGGAACTAGGTCCAGACCAAAATCTGCAGCTTTATCGAGACATCTGTGATCACAAAGAACTCAGATAAACATAATTATGACAGAGAGAAGGTAAGAAGGTGTTTCAGACACAGTCTCTTATATGAAAGACACAGTTTTTTAACATTTAAATATTAGAGTTACAAATTTTATCTTTCATAGTGAACCATTGTTTCTCCTATTACTCTAAAAAGTAGAGCATTTTACTATCAGTATAAATTGATTTGGGTAAAATAATTACATTAAAGTGCTTAAGTAAAATATGACCTGATTTTTTGCATTATTTACCATACATCACTATTGTACATTGTGTTACAGTCTGTTAATGAAATAAAAAAGCCAACTGAAAGCACATCTAGTCACTAGAAAATGTGCTTCCCAGGAATACAGTAAGATACTTTTATCTCTGTGCATCTTCCCACTTTCCAAAATGCTAAGCATAGATGTATTTTGAGATATACATTGATAAACCACCTCATCAGACTGAAAAAGTTCTATTATGAACCCTGACATAAAAAGATATATCATATAAACTATTTTAATTTTAAAATTCATTTTATTTTAACTAATTATGTTTGGATAAAACTAACATAACCTTAGCCAATCACATTCTAGCCTTTGGTCAACATCCACGGCTTCCTGCAAATTAACCTGTGGAGAAATCAGTCAATACTATGTTAAACCACTTGGGCAGAACAGATTACTTGCAATTGAGTCTGCCACAAGATGCTTTGAAACAGAGGATGGATATGGTGATAAATATGGAAATATTTAATATAAACTATTTTAATTTTAAAATCCATTTTATTTCAACTAATTACGTCTAGCTAAAACTAACGTAACCTTAGTCAATCACATTCTAGCCTTCGGTCAACATCCACAGCTTCAGTCGCCTGCAAATTAACCTGTGGAGAAACTAGCCAATACTATGTTAAAACACTTGGGCAGAATAGATTATTTGCAATTGAGTCTGCTCCAAGATGCTTTGAAACAGAGGATGGATATGGTGATAAATATGGAAATATTTTGTCCCAATAGCCAATATTTCTTATTTCTACATAAAATCTGAGCACACTACAACAGAAGCACTGGATGCCACTTCTCCATCTGCTTTCACACAGAGTTTGGGACAGGTCTGTGCCAATGACTGCCTAGACATCACTTTCAATCTCTAAAAAACACTCCTGAAGGTATTTTCATTTTTCTAACTGCTGCTTCAAAATCACTTCTGCTGCCATTAACCATATAGCCAATATTTCTTATTTCTACATAAAATCTGAGCACACTACAACAGAAGCACTGGATGTCACTTCTTCATCTGCCTTCACACAGAGTTTGGGACAGGTCTGTGTCAATGTCTGTGTAGACATCACTTTCAATCTCTAAAAAAACACTCCTGAAGGTATTTTCATTCTCCTAACTACTGCTTCAAAATCACTTCTGCTGCCATTAACCATGATATTGATAGTGACAACTTCACATGTCCTTTGGAAGTATGAAGAAATAGTTAATCCTTAAATTAAGGGGAGTTAATCCTTCAAGACCATAAAAATGAACCAAGTTCTTTTTACCACAACTCTTCTCAAGAAAGAGGTCTCTCTTCCCATCAGCTGAGTTAATCAACATTTATGGCAGTAGTAAAACTGGTCTGTAGACATCACTTTCAATCTCTAAAAAAACACTCCTGAAGGTATTTTCATTCTCCTAACTACTGCTTCAAAATCACTTCTGCTGCCATTAACCATTATATTGATAGTGACAAATTCACGTACCCTTTGGAAGTATGAAGAAATAAGTCAGTCCTTAAGGGGAGTTAATCCTTCAAGACCATAAAAATGAACCAAGTTCTTTTTACCACAACTCTTCTCAAGAAAGAGGTCTCTCTTCCCATCAGCTGAGTTAATCAATATTTATGTCAGTAGTAAAACTGGTCTTGGTGATCATGTAGGATCATAACATTTTCACACTGCAAAGGAAACTGAAGTAGGGGACTGAACAAAGAAAGAAGTTCCTACTGACTGGAAGAACTACAGAATATTTTAAGTAGGAACAGCAATACTTAACCTGAACTACAGGAGGAGTTTTCTTTAAAAAGGAAGCAAAACCACTGCATAACAAGAGCTTTAAGATACCTCCAAAAGTGCTTCAACAACTAATTGCACAATTAGTATTAATGGCAACTTCTAAATATTTTTTTCTGTACTCGGAAAAATTGAGACGCATTTGTGTCTGAAGTGACACAGTGAACATCAGCCAGCCCTTCAATTCTGCTTTGGTGAGTCTATCCCCAGCCAGAGGTAGTTATCAATCTGTGTTAAAGCCAGCAAGGTTAAACTCAGGCTCTTGACCTCTTGCTGCAACAGCAGTAAAATCCCTTAACTTTTGCTCTGACACCAGATTGTCACCAGCAAATCAACCAGAGTGCTACTGCCACCACCCCAGACTGCTCCTAATGACTTCTACAACCATTCTTAAGGCACAGAAAGCTCTTAAGCTACCAAAGAGAATGGGAATTAATGATGTTAATCATAACTCTAAAAGACAGCTTTAAATGAATCACAGTTACCTCTAAATCTATCCATCAATTAATATAATTAATGTGTTTCTAGATAATAGTCTAAGTAGTGTTGGAATCAATCTATGAGTGCCACTTCCAAGAAAAAGCTTTTGTCTTCTCTTTGTTCCAACATTATATTATTCCTAACAAACTATTAGCTATATTTAAATGACCTTTAATGTCTTTTTTATATAGACTTACTGAAACAGCAATTTTAATCTTAAACTCTTGCCCACTGTGATTTTTTTTCCATCATAAAAATATTTTACTGAAATAACAACTAATAGCTGCCTTTAAAGGGCACACCATTACCAAGGTATCACTTTCCAAGTTATTTAGGTTGACATTGGGCCAATATGAAAAAAAGCTATAGTCATTCCCTGGCAAAATGAATTCATTCTATAACAGCAAAGGACTTTGATGAATCCTTGAATTTTGCCATTTCAGGTTGATGTCACAATATGGTGGCTATTTCTGTCAGCAACCATGTCATTATTTAATAAAATAATATTTGTTCCCAAGGTTCAAAAACTGTGTTAAGTGTGCAAATAAATACTAAACAAATATTTTGTATCAAACTTTTATGCAAAGATAAATAATTGTTACACTGTAAAATTGTCAGTTCCATTTACTGTACATTGACTATACAATACAATGCATGAGAGACTAAAAGAAACAGAGGAGGTTTGTTTAACTACAAACAGTCTTAAAACTGACATACACTGTGGATATTTCCCCATAAAAACTTCAAATGCTCTGTTCATTTCATTGCTTACAACTAGCCAACTTACATCCCTTAGCAAAATAAACACATACCCTTTATTTAGCATGGCATATTTTGTTACTGAATTAATAAACAAACATCATATAAAAATGATCTGAACATTTGCCTCAAGGGGGAGCTTACAGTTCATTCTTGTAGATCCTTTGCATTTTCAAGCCATTCCAAGCTAATGTTCTTTGACAACATTATAATACAGCCTCACTGCAAAATGTTATTTTTGCCTCGTTTTCAGTCAGTAAATCATTATACCTCCATGCTACTGTCCTTCCTAGGCGTCTTTGAAATCCATAGTGTGGACTGGTTTGGACTGGTTTTTGTTCTTCCTTTACTGAAAGATAAAAGTACAAAATATTTTCAGTGCACGTGTGCCTTTGCAGTCCTGATTCAGCTCTGTGATCAGACCTGAGCATTCCATCCCCGCATCTCAAGGCCTCATTTGGTGCTCTCTCAGTGTGGGCTCCCCATCCACAGTGGCACTGTTACCAAAAATACCACACCACTCTGCTTAGCAGTGCTGCTCCCAGGAACTGTTCTGAATTGGCCTGGATGGTTTTTATTTATTTTTTTCCAGTTCCCATCCAACCACACCTCTCATACAGAGTAGTCTTTTCAGAGAAGGACTCAGTTTGACCAGGGCTGGTGGGAGCTGACCACTTTCCTTGTCTGGGGGGAAGCAGAGCACACAAATCCCCCTAGATCCATGCCCAAGGTGCAGCCCACCCACCCCAGTGGGCACCACACCCCTGCCCACCCTGGGTGCACCAAGGGGTTCGCTGCGCACCCTGCGCCAGCAAGCCCCTTCCCTTCAGGGCTGGACCTGACATCTCATGAAGTGATGGCACATGAATCAGACTCCTGGCAATGAATGACTGGTAGAAAGCTTCCCTAGGGCTAGTTTTCAGTCAAAACTGTCAATAGTATGTTTTGTGTTTGGTGTTTTTTCAATCAAAAAAAAAAAAAAAAAAGATAAAACTGGTTCCAAAAAGTATTTGCTGTTCAGTACTGCTATTGATTTTGCTCTGATTTCTCCGGGGAGCCCTGAGGCACCCTGAAAGTTTATGGCAGTCTTTCGACAAGGCTACAACTGCCACAATACACCATCTCCCATCACTTAGATTGGCAGATGACAGTGCACTGCAGACTACTGAAATAGGAGCCACTTCAGGAGCCATTGCAGCTGCATTTCAGTGAAATGTTTCAATCTCTGGATAGAATATTTCACACTAATAGGGTTGTTTTTTTTTCCTGATTAAGTAAAAACCAGAGGAGGAGATGCAGCCCTATATAACTGTGTAAGCTGGAAACCTAAGAGTCCCAACAGTCCTATACATTCAGTTTTACTCCTTTCCTGGTGTGCAAATGCAAGCGAGTCTGAGTTGATTTAAAATGTACTTCGAGGGTGCTGAATGCTACAGTAGCTTTCAGTCCCTCCAGACTTACCTCTGAAATCCTACAAAGTAATGCATTATGTACCTGAGCCCATTGGAGTAATTGGAAAGACTCCCTTTGGCTTCAGTGGACTTTAGATCAGGCCACAATGCTATAAACAAAGCAATTGCAATGAATCAAGTAGTTCCAGCGCTTCCTTCTTAAAGAAACGAAGTCACTACTTCCTTCTGGATTATTCCAGCAAAAGCAGGCATAAATTAATGATGAAAGGCTTTGAGTGGAGAGTCCTTGCCACACAGCAGGAGCAATTTCTAAATACCTTGGATAAGACCTTGAGCTGTATCAAATGAGCTTATCTTCAGCAAACCTACGCTGATTTTCACAGCTGGTTCAGGAAACAGATTTTAGTGACAAAGGTAAGATGCAATAAATAGCTTGAGCATATTGGTGTTTTGACCATCAAATGCAATCATAGAAACTGAGAAATATACCAGGTTGGAATTTAAACTTTCTGCAAGGCATTCAGATGATAATGGAGATGGGTCTTTGAAGCAGTTTCTCCTTGCTTCCCTGGAAGAAATGAAAGGGAGAGCATCTAAGCATGAATGAGCTGATCATTTCTGCTAGCTACAGGGACGAGGTGCTGCTTTGCCTTATTACTACCCTTCAAGAGCCCAATGACAGGCAAAATTAGTCATGACCTTTCAAGCTAGGCATGTCCTGGTTGGCCATGGGTTGTGGCTTTCAGAGGAAAGGTCACCATGCTGTGGAAGCCTAAAAAAGAATGAGAAGTCAGGTTCATGTGGAAAGTTGGGGATCCCGCCTTCCCCAGCAGGACAGAATCCCTTTCCTAAAGTTCTACAGTGTCCAGATGATAAATTCAAGTGATTGTTTCTTCTTTTGATTTGGTTTTTGCCTAAGAGCTGCATATTTCTGATGAAGTAAAATGGTTTGCAAGGCAGGTCACAAGTGGAAATTGAAAATAGATAGGAAAATATTTTTAAAAAAACAACGTTTTTTTAAAGTATTTTGTTTTAAAAGACAAAATACTTCATTTTTGGTGATAGTTTTTTTGGGTTTTTTATCTAAATGATTTTTTAAAATGGTTTGATTTCTTCAATTAAAGGTTTTGATGTAAACTCAAAATGGACATTCTGGGAACAAAAATTAAAAAAATAAACAACCAAACAACAAAAAAGAGAACCTTGTTTTGCATCAAAACCATTTGGTCCTTGATTTTTGTATCATTTCATCTATCAAACTAATCAGCTAACAGAAAAAAGGGAAATCTTCCAAGGTGAATTTCCAATATCTGTGTCATGCAATTTTGAAGTCTTGGAAGTTCAGATGAATTACTTCTGGATGAACTGCTATAGCATCAAAGGCCTGATCAAAGCCCACTGAAGTCAACACTGCTTTTTCTATTGATTTCAGTGGGCCATGAATCTCTCACTGCTTTCCCGGGAGTATTCGAGGGATGAAACTTTTCTCAGAAGAAAAGTCACTGCCAGAAAAGCCACTAACATGTACCATACTTACCAAGAAATCCAGGGCCACTGTAATAAGGGTTCCAAAATTCAATTGCTGTGCAATTTTTAGTGTTATACATTATTATTTTACTACTCTTTTCTGCTTTGAGCTTCCAACCTTCTGCAGCCCCAGTGGTGAGGTTTATAGATAACATTTCACAGGCTTGTATTTGCCTGTCGTAAGATAGGTTGGAAAGTGTACATTTTCCTTTTCTTTAGAGAAAATGCATAAAATAAAACCACAATCAAGTTTGTTATGCAGACCTTGTAATGTCTGTTCTTTATGGCTACTTGTTTCAATGAGGCATGGAACCAAGGAGTACTGCAAATATCACTGTACATTCACTCACACAGAAACAGTCTTCACATTTGGAGTGTTTTCTCACCTGAAATAACTTACTGAAGCTACTGGCAGGAAATACTAAGTAAAAACTGTAAGGAAAAATTAAAGAGCTAAAAATAAGAAGGATTTTTTTTCAAATTTGTTAAAACAGTGATATCATATTCCTTTTAGTTATTCCTGGTCCTCAAGAGGGAAAGCAGCTTACAAATCTGCTTATTACTCTCGATATTTTATGTAAACAGCATTTATCTATAAAACATATTTCAGTTTAAACTCTTCTGGATTACATTAATTTGAAAATACTTCCTGAACTAAAGCATAAATGATATGTGAGTTTCAGAAACACTAGTTCAGAAAAAAAATATAAATTATATGCTGTCATGTCTTTATGTATCTATATCATATTTTGAGAAAAAATGAAAAGTCCAAAGAATTTTAAAGCATGAAGCAAATTATACTGTATTTCAAAGGCTGAAATGTTTCTTTTTTGCATAATAGTACCCCTGCTTGATACCACAGCTACGAATACATATCTATTCATTTTATGCATCCTCTTTAGCACACACATGATGTACAAAGGATATCACACTAGTGTGAGACCCAAAGAAAGCTTTTGCTTTTAATTTTCAATTCGTGTGCTCCAGGGGTCCATCTGTTGTTTGTATGGTATGTGCAGTGGAACAGGATTAAGCAGCTGCTGACCCTTAGGTTTGTCCTTGGAGCAAATTTTTACTTTAGGTTAGAAAGTGAGTCCTTGGGCTCACCCTGTATCTGTGAGGGACCCTTCTACTAATTCCCACAGCCCAGGTACTTTACAGGTGGTAATCACAATAAAAGAGGTGAAGTAAAAGTGCTGACAACAGCCCTGATTAACAAGTGGTCTGCAAAGAGACTTTCTTCAGAAACAGGTGGAGTCCCAGCAGTACTCTTTGAGACCTAGAATTATTTCAGCATGTTGTGGAAAAGCCTGAAGGTGAATGCTCAGCTGTAACAGCTGTAAACTACTTGCATTTTAATAGATGAAAAGGAACTTATTTGCATACTTGGGGATAGATGTAAGCAGTCTTTCAGTAGGAATAGCTTGCCAATGGAAATATGAATTCTGCATCATAAAACCACTATGGATGAGTATATTTTACCTTTTATGAAGCATCTGGAAACAGCAAGTCCCAAAAGCCACCAGTATCAACAGCAGCAGTGGTATAGTGGGTATTACAACATAAATTAAATTCGGAATTATACCTATAAGACAAAAGTTCTCATTAATGTCTCCCATGTTGAAATGCTTTTAACCATGTCAGTAAAAATCTGGAGTAAAATAACAGGAATACATTAACTTACACAAAAGAACACATATATTCCTTCTACAGGAAGAGCTCCAAAGAGAACTCAGCAGTATCAAGAATAAAGCAGCACTTGAGTTATATGCAAAACATATCTTAAGGTCTTCAATTCTGATATTTTCCAATTTTGTAATTCAAAATTCAAGTGTTTTAATGGAGTACATTTCACAGCCTAATTTTTTCACAGTCCATTTTAACTGTAGACTCTGTCATCTTCATATCTGGATTCCCTGCCCATGCAGGACCACAGGAGGAATGAGCCTGGCTCTCATCTTCCCCTTCCCCTTAAAAGACACATAAAGCCTTTCCTTGACTAACGAGGAGAGCTAAAGGTGCTCCTCTGCAGGTCCCTGCACAAAAGGAATGGGAAATGGCACAAGCTGAGACTCTATCACCTGTCTACAATAGAGGATGGGGTCTGCAACTTCCAGAAGGATACTGTTTACCAGTAACTGTATGCCCATGTTTTGTACTAGTACACATTTAATGTACAAACTGGGGAGATTTACTTACCTATTGTCCTATTTTAAAAACATTTTCTCTAGCAAGAATAAATGTGAATATTCATGTTGTTTTAGAGTCTTCGCACAGTTTGTATTAAAAGGTATTATTGATTACAAACCACAGTTCCTCAATATAATAATTCCTCTGGAGGTAAAAATAATGGAAACACCAATTAGGAAGCTGGCTCAAATCCAGACAACCAGTGGGCAAACAAAGCACCCCTCTTCCATAATCCCATGGTGCAATCCTGTAAAATCCAGGGCTGCTCCTGAGACATGTTCAGTTCCTTGAACTGAAGCCAGGCTACAACTCTTCCTGAGCCTCGGGACTCTGTTCAGAAGATAAATTCCTGAATGAAGCAGCCAGGGGCATTGCAGAACCTGGGCAGTAGGTATCCACTTCCCAAATATCAAGTGTCATCTCCACTGGGAATCTCAGCAAGGCACTGAACTCCTCTTAGTATGTGGTTTTCCAAAAACACAGGGTACATGGGGCAATTATGGACACATTATTTATTCTAAATTTGGTGGGACAAGGAAATAATTTGTTTCTACAGCAACTAAGAGGACTAACACTCTTGAAATGTTATTCAAATATATGTAGCACTTCCCAGGGAAACAGACTGTTTCTTCCTATTGACAAAAATGGAAACTGAAATTTTTATTTAATTCCACTGTTAATATTTTTAGCAGAACATTACATTCACATGAACATATTACCCGTTTCAGTAGCAATAATATGATACTGATCTTCTGGTTTGCTTGTGTCATAAGGATTTCCTGCTGGCACTGTTGGAAAAATATCTGAAAAGGAGATCAGACATTTTAGGAAAACAGTAAAAAATATGGACATTGTTATATAAATTAATATCAATTACATTTCAATTTATATTGGTAAAATGATTATATTTATGATTTATTAAATATACATGTAAACAGGATTTTGTTACATAATTGGAATTGTGTCTGGAAGAAGAATTACAAGCAGTGTTATTCTGAACAACAGCCATATATTTGTAGCTGTTGCTCTCTGAAGAATTCATTTTCCCTATGTTCCAGTTCTTAACTGTGCCTGTTAAACTTGAGTAATTTTGGAGGCTCTTGAATGGTATCCTTATAATTATGTATTTACCAGCGCAATGGAATTTAATGTGTCAAAATTTCTTACCGTATTCTGGCTCTGCTCTGTCTCCTAATTCTTTTTCTAAGACATTATCTGTTAAATCAATATTTGAAATTGATTTGTTGAAGAATGAAAAATGTGTGCAATAAAACAGATGTTTCCATTTTTTTCATGCAGTATCACAGAATTAGATACATTTCCCCCAAACAATAATTGCTTAATTCTTCAGCATTTCATCTTCTTACAAAATGACTCTTTGCAAACTAGTGTCAAATCACCTCTAATTCATACTTTTTGCTCTTTAGAAGAATGTTATAGTTTAATCTAGTGTCAATTCTTGGTGGTCTCTGATTTAATGGCTAATGGTTAAACCCGAACTTCTTGTGCTGAATAAAGTGCCTAACATACTCAAAGCTTCATTGTGCAACAGACAGTTGTAAAACAATATATGTTCTCTCTACCATAACGTTATACTAACTTAACAGTGCCATGAGACTACAGTTCTGAGTGTCTTGAGACAAACTGCTAGGAGAAATCAAAACAGCAATAAAGCCTTCTAGATAAAGGCAATTATTTCACCTACTCTGGTAAAAAATACCTACATTTGGCCTTATATAAAGAAAGATACCAAGATACCCCAAAGAGCTGAGCTGCTGTCTCTTGACAGCAGAAGAGTTTTTAATTTGATTGCAATATCAAACCTACAGGAGCTGGACAATGGTCACAATTACCAACCTATAATTAAATTTAGGATTGCTGAATGATTAATATGATCCAAAGCCAGACTGAACAACAGTAAACGCTGTCAAGGGAGGGCTTGGAAAAATGAAAGTGTCTACCAGAAATGTAGCTGCTGCTTGAGCAAGACTGTCTAATGAGCACTGTCCTGGACCTGCTGATGATACAATTAGATGCAACTTCATCAAAGTCACCTACAACCTGTTTTGGCCTGTGGCTGGTATCATGGACCCCATATTGAACACAGACAGGAGAGTTGTGAAAAACAACGTGCTCAGATAACAAACTGAAATTCAATATGCATGTGGTACCTTAGCACTCCTGGTGAAATGGATGTATTTTGCACTGCTAAGAGCTGACACTGAAGCCTTTACAGTGATTTAAGGGGGAAAAAGGTCGTTTGTAAGTCTCACTTGGTTTGAGATAACAAATGCAATTTTCCTACAAACACTGTGTTACTTTCTTCAGGCAGTGAAAGAAATGTCAAATATCTATTTACATACATTTTTGCATCTACTCCTTTCCTCCATGTGACAGAAAAATATATTTCTGGAGAATAGTCTGTTTTGCTAAAGAGCACAATTCCAACAGTTTGAAAAATAAATAGCTACAATTCAGCAGTACTGTATTTAGCTGCATAACAATGTCAATACTAACAATAATCTACCTATACATTGTTTGCCTTATATGCCTCATTATAAAATAATAACCTACTTCTACCTAGAGAAAGAAATATAAATGTATTTTCATTGTTACTATTATCACCTTGTTTTCTGAAAATCCAAAACACCCAACATCTTCTCAGATGGTAAAAGCAATAGAAAAAGCAATTCTTTATCACATCTCAACAAGAATGATAAGTAGTTCACTATTATAGAATAATTATCTAATTTAAATTTGCTTACTTTTAAAGCTACAAAATACACCTGAAACCAAATCTTTTTAATAAAGACTTCAATTTCTGACATATAAATGTGAGGGTTTTAACCACATAGAGCATTTTTATTTAGTTACCCTATTTCAAAATAATTTGAACTGTTCTAAAAGTGATAAAATTGTCACATTTCCTTGACAGGCCTATGATGATTACTGATCATCATAAAGTAGTGATAACCACTAAAAATTTCAAAAGCAGGAACAGATTTTGGGGTTGACAGTATACTGAAACACATTGGTATATCAACTCTTCCAAATATTTAATATTTGCTGGCAATATTAATTACCTTTAATATCCTCATTAAGTGACCAAAAAGTGAAAAATATATGTATCCACCAGAGGAACAAAATAGTCTGGATCTCTAGGGACAGAAAGATCTCTACAAAGAGAGCAATTATTTTTTGATCATCAGCATAGAGAAAGAAGGTAAGAAACTGCAGAATTATATAGCTCAAACAGCTGCTAAGAGTAAGATTTCACAGAATCATAGAATGGTTTAGGTTGGAACGGACCTTAAATAATAGCCTTTTTCTAACCCATGGGCAGGAACACCTTCCAGTAGACCAGACTGCTCAGAGTCCCATCCAACCTGGCCTTGAACATTCCCAGGGATGGGGCATCTACAAATTCACTGGGCAACCTGTGCCAGGGCCTCAGCACCCTCACAGAAAATAATTTTTTCCTACTGTCTAATATAAGCCTACTCTTTTTCAGTTTGAAGCCATTCCCTGTTATTCTGTCACTCCAGACCCTCGTAAACAGTCTCTCTCCATCTTTCCTCTGGACTCCCTTCAGGTACTGTGAGGCCACAATTAGGTCACCCCAAAGCCCTCTCTTTTCCAGGCTGAACAATCCCAGTTCTCTCAGCCTTTCCTCCCAGCAGAGCTGCTCCATCCCTCTGATCCCCTTGGTGCCTGCTCTGGCCTGGCTCCAGCAGGTCCCTGTCCTTGCTGTGCTGGGAGCCCAGAGCTGGATGCAGCCCTGCAGGTGGGGTCTCAGCAGAGCGGGGCAGAGGGGCAGAATCCCCTCCCTGCCCTGCTGCCCACGGGGCTTTGGATGAGCCCAGCACACGGGGGGGTCTGGGCTCCCAATGGCCAGGGCATGTCCAGCCCCTCACCCACCAGCACCCCCAGGTCCTTCTCCCAGGGCTGCTCTGGATCTGTCCATCCCCAGCCTGGATTGGTACGGGGGGAGACCCTGACCCAGGTGCAGCACCTTGGACGTGGTCTGTTAAACCTCATGAGATTCCTATGGGCCACTTCTTGAGTTTTTATTAATTAATAAATGAAATAAATCCATAATTTAATATTCATTCTGACTTTTAGCTTTGTTTTGAAAAACAAACACCCCAAAAATTATTTGAAAACATTTCCATGGTCCTGCTGGAAAACAAGTTTTCATTTACTTTAAGTACCACCAAGAACAGAAAATTTTATAGGCTCAAACTGCAAAGTTTACTTTTTATGTCCTTTCTGGTTTTGCACCATGTTCTAGTTTATAGTTCACTTTTCCTCTATTGACATATACAGAACTTATGTCATGTCTGAAAGTACAGCCAAATTGCCTAAGATCTGTTTTTGCTGTCACCATCTCAACTAGCATGCATCTGCTTTTCATATCTCATAAGTCTACATGCATGAATGCAGAAATTTTTCCTGCCTTTCTGGACTTCATTCTTCAAGCCATAACTTTTTTAAACAACCACCACATGTAAGTTTGTATAAAAATGGCAGGGCTGCAGCTACGAGGACAGTGCAATATTTTTTACAGGAGGACTAAGATGTCTTGGTCACCCTACCTAGAAAGCAGAAAATGTACACTTAAAACGCTTTGTGAAGTAAGGGAATTAATGAAATAAAAAAAACCCCTGGGAATGCATGATAGTGAAGCTAACTTTGAAATCATTCATATTAGATATAAACAGGTTTATTTAAATGTATTAAAATGTATTTTAATAGTTGTTATTGATATGTAACATCCCCTGCTAACGCCAGCTCAGGCACACACCAAAGGAACCATTTCCACAGACCAAAAGATACTTGAAGATTCCCTCACAAACAAAACAATGTCCCAAAAGTGAAATATAACTTCACTTTTACCTACCTGGGGCATATTTGCAGATAAAATTGTGCTTCATGTTGCATCTGTCATCATTCCATTGATAAAGGTATGGCCCTCCCAGGCCAGGGTTTGCAGTTGGCTGGTGATACATCACCACACAGGCTTCGCTTCCACAGGAAGGCTCATCTGTGTACCAATTTCTAGTTTTTGAAGATAAGGTTCATCAGGATGACAAAGAACAGAGTTGTATCAATGAAGAAATATCAACCCAAACAGTCCCATCCTCTTCAAAGATATCCTGCATATCCCACAACCCTTCTGTGAAAGGCCCTGGCTGCACATCTCTGAACCTTAAAACAATTCTGATCAAAGCACCTCTGCAGGAACAACACCCTACTGCTCTGCTTTTCTCCCTATCAGACTCTTATCTGTCCCCTTGTCTTGAGTTCTGTGAGTTGCTGCTACTCTGGCCTTTGGCTTCATCATGAAGTTAAGATGGCTTCATCATTTCTACCCTTTTCAAAAAGGGTAGAAACAGAACAATTTATCCTAAGCATCTCATAATAATTTATTTGGTGGCTGGCTCTCTGATTTGAGGTGGCCAAAACTTTGCAGAATTTACCTGCCTGCTTTCAGACTACAACCAAAAGACTCCGTGTGTGGCAGAACCTCCAGATGCCATGCAGAGGCAAACTCAGTGTGTGGGAGCACAGAAATTTGTAGGCTGAAGCCACACAATGCCATCCTGCCACAGCTTCAAATTCAAAACCCCGATTGCCAGCTACCCTTCATCTGGAGAAGCCAAGGGGGAGATGCCACAAACTTCCTGCCAACAAGCAAGGTTTGGCATTTCAGGCTCCCTTCCTTTCCATGGAACCTTCTCAATGAACAATTTCACACACTTACCTGAATGGTGACATACTTCCATCAGCCCACTGGTAGAGGTCGGGGCAAGCACTCGATGTGGCCAGTCCATCGCCACTTCTCCACAGCCCAATCCAGAAATCACCATCAGAAATCCCAGAGCCTGATCTGGTGAGGTTTTGCAGCATGTTTTCTATTAGCTGCTGCTCAGCTTCACTTTCCAAGCTGAGTAAAGCCCCACCATCGATTTCACAAGCCTGGCGAGCCTCCTGGAAGCCCACGCGTCTAGACAAGTCCTGGAAATAGGCTAGTTTGTAACAGGAATGTTTGAAGGCACCATAGCACACCTTCTGGCCTGAAAAACAAAAACATGGGGCTGTTCAGAGTACAGTGATGAATATCAAAGCTGCAAGAACAGAATACAGCACATCATGCATATGCTGATGAAGGACGGGGGATTTTTGCCTGGGAGGATTCATGGTGATAACCTAGAACCACTGAAATCCTTTGCCCTAATTTAAATTTCAAACAGCGCACAGTTCATGGGAATCTATGCCACCTTGCCATGGTCTGTGAAACTCTCCAAAACACTGAAAATTCCCAATAGGCTTTAGAGAAATATTCTTTACTTTATAATGACTGTACCATCAGGCCTGTCTGTTATAGCCAGGATCTGTTTGGAGCATACTTCCTTGACTATTGCATACTAATGGACCAACTTCACTTTTATTGTGTAATCAGAGCTAGTCTTTTTTTTTTTTTTAATTTTCAACTACACATGTTTAGTGGCAAGAAGCAGCTGAAAATTTTTTTCGATCGCTTAAGTTAACCTTGAGAGGCTGTATATGAGAGCAACTTACAGCCACTCTTCACTACAATGTGCCTAAGCACAACCTGTAAAGGTCTATGGGAGGAGAGAGTGTGCTTCTTACAGTCCTTTGTCTTAGCAAAATATATGTCTGTTTCCTAAAAAGGAAAAAATAATAATTGTTTTCAACTACTAAGACTCTCTAGAGTTTATTCAAGATATAAAAGATGAGGAATTAACACACTCACTTATCAGCCACAACTGAACTCCATTATGTTTATTTAGGGACAGAATAAGGCTTCTAAATAGAACCATCTCTTAAAAAAAAATAAAATCAAATTTTTCCAGTATAGAAATTTATCATTGGAGAAGGAAAGTAGGAAAATTTATTTTGTTAAGTAAGAATGACTGAAGGATACCAAAGTAAAAAAAAAACCTACCAGGCATTATCTAGACTGTTTAGAAATCAACAAAAGTAGTTATTTTACTGGGAAATTTCACAATCACACAACAGGCTGAGCTAGAAGGGATCACTCAGGACCATGGAGTCCAACTCCCAGCTCTGTGAAAAACAGCCCAAGAGTCACACCATGTGCCTAAGAGTGTTGTCCAAAAGCTTCTTGAGCTCTGTCAGGATTGGTGCTGTAACCACTGCCCTGGTTCCTGTTCCAGTGCCCAGCCACTCTCTGGGTAAAGAGCCTTTTGCTGATACCCAGTCTAAACCTCCCTGACACAGCTTCAGGTCATTCCCTTAGGTCCTGTCACTGATCACCAGAGGGAAGAGATAAGTATCTGCCTCTCCCCCTCCTGAGGATGCTGAAGACCAAAATGAAGTCTCCCCTCAGTCTCCTCCAGGCGGAGCAGACCAAATGACCTGAGTGGGTCCTCACACAGCTTTCCCTCAAAACCCTTCACCACCTTCACAGCCCTCCTTTGGGCACTCTTTAATGGCTTTATATCCTTCCTATATAGAGGCACCCAAAACTGCTCACAGCACTTGAGGTAAAGCTACACCAGCACAAAGTACTGTAGTTTATTGTCTTTTATCAGATTTGCATTTGAAAATCTTGTATTTCGTCTCACTTTTAAGCAAACCCAGATACATGACTCGTGTAAATAACATCTGAACATGACTTATCCTGTTTCACCTTAAAAATTTGTAATTTGTCAATGGGAAACAGCAACATCCTCACATAACTCCAGCTATATTTATGTTTTCCCAGGCAACGTTTTCCTGTGCACAAAGGGTACATATCAAAGTAAACAAAAAACCTTAATAGCTACATAAACCTTACAAGCTACAAAGCAATGCTAATTGCATTAGCATTGCTTCATTCTTCTGTTTAATAAGTAGGGTATTTCCAATAGCAGACAGCACAAGGGCTGAATCAAAGGGCTCTCTGTATTTGCATTAATACAGGGATGGAAAAACAGGATCAGCTCTTGACTTTGGCTAAATCTGAAAGTAAATCATTTTTTTGGGGATCATTTCTGTTGTAGAAAGCTAAATTATAGGGGCAGTAGAGATATACTACGCTTAACTTTGCAGGGTTTCCTACAAACCTTGTAATCTTTCTAGAAAAAGAAAAAACAACAAACCCTGAAACCTTCAGTTTATAATACCCTATTAAAGTTCATCTGGAGGACTATCAGGAAGAAAAGCATCTTTTTAATCTCATTCTTACCTTGGCAGACAGACTTCTGAAAATTTAGTTGTTTATCAGTAATTAATCTACCAAAATAACACAGGAACAAGAACAGTCTAAAAAAAGGACAGGCTTGTGCCACTGATATGGAAAAAACCAGGCTCCAAGATCAGGCAGAGAGTGCCAATTTTGACTTTCTCTGATAATGTCCTGACAACACAACATATTCCCCAATTTCATTCCTGATATTTCCCTTTACACACATAGGTTAGGAGCCTTGCTCCCAATAAATGCAGCAAGGGCCATAGTCCTAGCTAGGCAGTGGTGTGAAGAGGAAAAGACAGACCCTTTAACAGAGATGCATATGAAATAATGTTCTTCCTCCTAGATTTGTTAGACACAAAGAACCACTATTATCAAAGTAACAAAGTGGTAAGTCTAAATGTTGCAAAGTGGGAAGTGCAGCAACGAAAGCTGCATGTGAAATCCCAGCTCATTCCCTCCCTCTACAATGCTGAAATTCCAGTTTTGCTAACATGATTGATTTTCCCCAGGAGCTGTGTCTCACTGACAGGACAGAGTGCACAGGGAAGGAGGAGCTGATCAACATTTTGGCCCTCACTGCCGGGTGAGTGACAATGGCTTATTGCCAGAGTACACATGTGTACATAACAGCACAAACATCCAAAGCCTAGCACTGAATTATGCAGGACACTAATCACTTCCAAAGAAAAGTGACCACACCTTCCCCTGTAGTTCAGGATTGGATTCAAAGCATTAATTCAAGATGCACATGCAAATTTAGGAAGACTGCTTTGTCCATTGTCCTGTTCCTTTTCTTTTCCCAGACAATCTTTGAGATAAACTCTTCCATGATTCCTTTCATTCTGTGCACATAGGTCTCCTTGACATCAAGTAGTAAATTATGAGCAAATTCAGATGTCAAAAAATCCCGGTCACAGTTTCAGTTATGCAGGAATGTTCAACCAACTGTGATGAGCAGGCTGATCACTATGGTTCATAATTCCTGTGCTGTTCCTCCCTCCCATGGGAAAATAGCTAACCTTGCCTTTATAACACACTATCCACTCCCCACCCCTGCTTGTTTCTCAGGTGGCTGAAGTGCTCCCCTCACACTCTGTTCTCATGCACACCCTCTACTTTTCTGTGACTCTCCCAAAAAATCTGAGTCAAACCTTCTAGCAGAAGAAATGGATCCTTGCTGGCTGCCTAAGCTTTCTCAGGATGCTCATCTGCCAGTCAGCTGCTGCATAGAGAGTCAAGCAAAGTCACAGCATCTTTTAGGCTGGCAAAGACCTTGGAGACCATTGAGTCATGGCAAGTGCTGCTTCTGACCTGCTCCAAGGCTTGTATTCATAAACTGTGCTGTGTTCCTGTCCAACACAGGAACTGCATCAACGCTCAGCTCCATCACCCACACCAAGGAAACCAGGTGGGACTGTATGGAGCAGCAAGGAGGATGACAAGTACTTGTGATGCACAAAGGCAAAGAGCTACTGCAGCCCCTAATATGTGCCCAGCTTGCTACCATTGTGCACTCAAAGCAGGGAGCCCTCTCAGAGCCATCAGAACACAGATGGCTGTATCCAACTTCTATCCAAAGGTTTGCAAGTTAAAACATTGAAGCTTTGTGGAAGACAATTTCCTTCTCCCCTTAAACTGACCAGAATAATTTTAAAGACACCATTTTTAAAGACACCAGATGTTTGGGCAGGGTTAAGTAACACTAAAATCAAGTTTTACAAAGTGAAATAATTTTTAAAAAATGAAAATTTGAATGAAATCCAACTCCTAAATTACTGCTCTTTCATTTTTTGCTCTCTACCTGCGGCACGAGAAATAATTTCCTCCTCACAGGCTGATCATTTCTGCAAGAATATACCTCCAGAAACCAACAAAGAAAACAGCAAGAAACAAAGAAATAATTGGCATTAAGACCCATAGACCCAAAGAGTGTGAATGAAGTGTGTGAGGCAGAGCAGTAAGCTTTCTGGAAGAAGCTGTGAATTTCTCTTGTTCTAGTTAATTTAATCCCTGTGTTTAGGCAGCGACCTACTCTGAATCTTTTCTTTCTTCTTTTGAAGCGGACTTTGAACCAGTTCCACTGCGGCAGACAAATGTGTTAATGGAAATCTGCAGTTGTGCCTTAATAGCTGGCAAATCAGTTGACATTTTAGTGCTCTTCTCGGAACACACTGAGATGTCAAGTTTTAAAGCTTCATTTTTTCTCCCACTACTAATTTCTGAACTACAAAGCAGAAATAATTTACCACTGAAAAATGAAAGAATGGACCACATAGTACAGGAGACAAGATAAGTATGGAAATATCAACTATGTGCTACTTTACCTTATTCTAACATCTTTCTGCAGACTCCACAGTTAGTTCTAAAGCAACATTTTGTTATTTCAGCTGTATAAATTGAGTTCCAAATTTTCTGTGACAATTGAATAGAAACTAGATTTGTAAGCAAGACCATTGGAATGAATCATGCCAATATACTACACAACATGAATAATCTTTTTTTGGTCTCATCATTCCATTAGCAAGTGAAGAGGATTTGCTCCAGGAAGTGCTAGCTACCATTTCCATCCATATGGGTCAGTTTTCATCTTTGGGTGTTTCACACAGGCTCCAAAGTAGAATATTTAGGTATCAGCCTCAGAAAAAATATCTTTTTAAACTGAATTACTCATTAAAATATTTCTGCAGATAATTTTACAGGAGGAGGAAAAAAAATCCTCTTCAAGAAAAAAAAAAAAGGCAAATTTCAAGCTGTTATTTCAATCAGTTATATCTCCATTATGTTTTAATAATCATGCTTCATTAAACCAATAATATGTTCCTTGATTACTGTCATGACAGAAGTCACAGCTAAGTG